AGTACGGAATCATTTTTATCAATTCATTTTATATTTATCTAAGAATTCCCAAGTTGCAGGGTATGCTACCAAGACATGGGATAGACCAAAAAACAATTTAGTTAATGGTAAAACAGAACACTAAAATTGGAAACGAGTCTCGAAATAAAAATAAATGGTCCCACGAAGTATTAATTAAATATGATTAATACATTCATGATCATAAATACAATCATTGGTAAAGGTATGAGCGAGATACATGTAGATTTCGTTATGGAAGCAGACATAATCTAAAAACATCTACTGGGAATCGTTGCCAGCAGACTTTTACCATTATGGCTCTTCACTGAGAAAATAATCAGATTAACACCCATATGCTATAAGCATCACTGAAAACCTGAATATAGGAGCATACTCGGTACTTGAGTGCTTAGCATACTCAACAAACGACTCAGGGGTAGGGAATTCTTCAGTGGGAGAGACTCAATCAAGTGTTCAAGTTTACAGACACACTAAGATATTCTACTGTCTTTGCAACAAGTTCCTGCTGAACACCGACAACAGGTAATCATACATGCAAATTCAACAGCTGCTATTGTAATCTAGCAACATGAACACTTGTTGTGACAACATTCATCTGACCAGAAATGTTTCAGCTTTACCGCAAACATTCACACGTCAAAACTCGTTGGATACTGACCAGCTGGTTGCAGAGGAATGTAGAATCATGTCAGAATAAAAATGGACACATACATAACTCAGTATAGGCCAGATTAGGAAGATAATTAGAGCTAGAGCCGTGCTGAAGACGTAGAGCGACCTAACAGGAAGACATCAGGCTCTGCGGGATGGTGCAATAATTCAACTACTTATTTGGATGAAAGGGAACAACTGAACACCAGAAGTGCACTTGCACCGTGTCATGCGTGGATGGAGGCCTATGAACATGGGAAATAGGCTTGCAGGTTCAAGCAGAAGAAAGGAAATGTCAACATTGCAGATCATTGCCAAACGAGAATTATCAGGGGGAAAGCGCCAAGCCATTACGACAATTACCAAACGAACCACTGGAACATTATCTAATACAACACAGAGTTAGCTATAAGGCATGTAACAATATCGCTATCAAACCTCACAGAAAAAGCTGTTGGACACATTGGATACAACCTTATCGTGGCCAACATATGAGTCAGCCGTAAACACTCATCCACAGGCTGAGTCAGAAATGATGAACACATAGTGGACCAGTCAGACTTAAAGCCTGACCAGGAATATATACCGGAGATATTTAAAAAAAAAATAGGGGGTGACATCTATGTGCTACACAACATTGGACATTCTACATATTACACGTACCAACTACCACCACCGCCACAGACAGGAAGTCGACTACGCTCTATACACTCAGAATTTTTACGTCCAGCCCCCAGTTGACTGGTGCAATAAGAGCCAACATTTATCTCCAGCAAGCTTAACTGGCGCCGTTTGTCTTCCAGGATTACCCAGCAGTCGTGGTCATTATGACTCGTCCCAACCTTCACTGACAAGAGTGGACAAAAAATAGTCATTCTATTGTTAGTGGAGCATTATACCTGTTTTATGACAGATCAAATTCAAAGATGGATGTGTGTATTCACCTAGTTGTGTTTGCGGTGGTTGAGCTTTGCTCTTTTGGCCCGCCTCTCAACTGTCAATCAACTGTTTACTAACTACTTTTTTTTTCCCACACCACACACACACCCCAGGAAGCAGTCCGTGACAGCTGACTACCTCCCAAGTACCTATTTACTGCTAGGTAACAGGAGCACTCAGGGTGAAAGAAACTTTGCCCATTTGTTTCTGCCTGGTGCGGAAATCGAACCCGCGCCACAGAATTACGAGTTCTGCGCGCTATCCACCAGGCTACCAGGCCCCAGGTGTACTCACCTATTTGTGCTTGCAGGGGTTGAGCTTTGGCTCTCTGGTCCCGCCTCTCAACTGTCAATCAACTGGTGTACAGGTTCCTGAGCCTACTGGGCTCTATCATATTTACATTTGAAACTGTGTATGGAGTCAGCCTCCACCACATCACTGCCTAATGCATTCCATCCGTTAACTACTCTGACACTGAAAAAAGTTCCTTCTAACGTCTCTGTGGCTCATGTGCGTACTCAGTTTCCACCTGTGTCCCCTTGTTCGCGTCCCACAAGTGTTGAATAGTTTATCCTTGATTACCCGGTCGATTCCTCTGAGGATTTTGTAGGTTGTGATCATGTCTCCCCTTACTCTTCTGTCTTCCAGTGTCGTAAGGTGCATTTCCCTCAGCCTTTCCTCGTAACTCATGCCTCTTAGTTCTGGAACTCGTCTAATGGCATACCTTTGGACTTTTTCCAGCTTTGTCTTGTGCTTGACAAGGTACGGGCTCCATGCTGCGGCCACATACTCCAGGATTGGTCTTACATATGTGGTGTACAAGATTCTGAATGATTCCTTACACAGGTTCCTGAACGCTGTTCTGATGTTAGTCAACCTTGCATATGCCGCAGACGTTATTCTTTTTATTTGGGCTTCAGGAGACAGGTTTGGTATGATATCAACTCCTAGATCTTTTTCTCTGTCCGTTTCATTAAGTACTTCATCTCCTATTCTGTATCCTGTGTCTGGCCTCCTGTTTCCACTGCCTAGTTTCATTACTTTGCATTTACTTGGGTTGAACTTCAACAGCCATTTGTTGGACCATTCACTCAGTTTGTCTAGGTCATCTTGTAGCCTCCTACTATCGTCCTCAGTTTCAATCCTCCTCATAATTTTTGCATCATCGGCAAACATTGAGAGAAACGATTCTATACCCTCTGGGAGATCATTTACATATACCAGAAACAGTATAGGTCCAAGGAATGACCCCTGCGGAACTTCACTCGTAACGTCTCGCCAACCTGAGACCTCACCCTTTACACAGACTCGTTGTCTCCTGTTGCTTAGGTACTCCTTTATCCAATGGAGTACCTTCTCTTTCCCTCCAGCCTGCATCTCCAGTTTTTTCACTAGCCTCTTGTGTGGCACTGTATCAAAGGCTTTCTGACAATCCAAAAATATGCAGTCTGCCCATCCTTCTCTTTCTTGCCTTATTTTTGTTGCCTGGTCGTAGAATTCAAGTAACCCTGTGAGGCAGGACCTGCCATCCCTGAACCCATGTTGATGCTGTGTTACAAAGTTCTTTTGCTCCAGGTGCTCCACTAGCTTTCTTCGCACAATCTTCTCCAACAGCTTGCATGGTGTGTGTGTGTGTGTGTGTGTGTGTGTGTGTGTGTGTGTGTGTGTGTGTGTGTGTGTGTGTGTGTGTGTGTGTGTGTGTGTGTGTGTGTGTGTGTGTGTGTGTGTGTGTGTGTGTGTGTGTGTGTGTGTGTGTGTGTGTGTGTGTGTGTGTGTGTGTGTGTGTGTGTGTGTGTGTGTGTGTGTGTGTGTGTGTGTATGTGTGTGTGTGTGTTAGTACTCACCTAGTTGTGTTTGCGGGGGTTGAGCTCTGGCTCGTTGGTCCCGCCTCTCAACCGTCAATCAACAGGTGTACAGATTCCTGAGCCTATCGGGCTCTGTAAGGCATGTGTGTGTGTGTGTGTGTGTGTGTGTGTGTGTGTGTGTGTGTGTGTGTGTGTGTGTGTGTGTGTGTGTGTGTGTGTGTGTGTGTGTGTGTGTGTGTGTGTGTGTGTGTGTGTGTGTGTGTGTGTGTGTGTGTGTGTGTGTGTGTGTGTGTGTGTGTGTGTGTGTGTGTGTGTGTGTGTGTGTGTGTGTGTGTGTGTGTGTGTGTGTGTGTGTGTGTGTGTGTGTGTGTGTGTGTGTGTGTGTGTGTGTGTGTGTGTGTGTGTGTGTGTGTGTGTGTGTGTGTGTGTGTGTGTGTGTGTGTGTGTGTGTGTGTGTGTGTGTGTGTGTGTGTGTGTGTGTGTGTGTGTGTGTGTGTGTGTGTGTGTACTCACCTAGTTGTGCTTGCGGGGGTTGAGCTCTGGCTCTCTGGACCCGCCTCTCAACTGTCAATCAACTGGTGTACAGGTTCCTGAGCCTACTGGGCTCTATCAAATCTACATTTGAAACTGTGTATGGAGTCAGCCTCCACCACATCACTGCCTAATGCCTTCCATCTGTTAACTACTCTGACACTGAAAACAAAAAAATTCTAACGTCCCTGTGGCTCATTTGGAAACTCAGTCTTCACCTGTGTTCCCTTTTATGCGTAAAACCGATTGATTGATTGATAAAGATTAAGCCACCGAAAAGGTGGCACGGGCATGAATAGCCCGTAAGTGGTGGCCCTTTCGAGCCATTACCAGTATCAAGAGCTGATACTGGAGATCTGTGGAGGTGCGACTGCACCCTGCGTAACGGCAGAAGTCTCCCGTGGCATACCACCGTGTTAAACAGTTTATCTTCATCTACCCTGTCAATTCCTCTGAGAATTTTATAGGTAGTGGTCATGTCTCCCCTTACTCATCTCTCTTCCAGTGTCGTGAGTTGCACTTCACGCAGCCTTTCCTCATACCTCATGCCTCTTAGTTCTGAGATTAGCTCCAATTATCTAACGTACCTGACTTTCCAATAAGCGACGTACCTGACTCTCCAATAAGCGACGTACCTGACTCTCCAATAAGCGACGTACCTGACTCTCCAATAAGTTATGTTTTTGATTCTCCTATCAGTGACGTACCTGACTCTCCAATGAGCGACGTGCTTGACTCTCCAATAAGTGATGTACCTGACTCTCCAATAAGCGACGTACCTGACTCTCCTATCAGTGACGTACCTGACTCTCCAATAAGTGACGTACTTGACTCTCCAATAAGTGACGTACTTGACTCTCCAATATGTGACATACTTGACTCTCCAATCAGTGACGTACCTGACTCCAATGAGCGACGTACCTGACTCTCCAATCAGCGACGTACCTGACTCTCCAATGAGCGACGTACCTGACTCTCCAATCAGCGACGTACCTGACTCTCCAATAAGCGAGGGCTCTGCACTAAGCCTTGTAAACAACTATAGCCGCGCCCTTAGACGTATTCTGGCATATCATTTACACCTGAAACAGAACAAATAGGGAGATGGGAACATTAATGCCAATCCTGGCAGCGTGGAGGCTCCACTTCCATTCAACCTTCTTGTTACGAACCCGGATCCAGCGTCCGAGCACGGAGCAGTGACGACCGCGCCATCTGTGGGTCAGCTCCCGAAACCCCCTCCAAACGGACGACGACACCTGGCGAGGACGACTGTCCGTTCCAGCCCCATGTTCGTCCTGTACTCATAATAACAAAAACATCACTCGGAAAATTCGCAGCTAATTAGGATCATGCATTTGTTAAAATGGCAACCTGACTCTTAATTAAAATCTAATGAAATTAATTAGTGGTAATGATGAAGCAAAAACAGTTTTTTTTTTTTAACGAAGCCGTTTTTTTTTCAGAGCTATTCAGGTATAGTGAACTATACATAACAGATTTGGCTCAGTTGAAAATGTATTCACCAACACATAATTATTCACTGTAGGTTAATTTTAGGCTTCATTTTGTATATTCTATAGTATGACTACCGAGTTCCTTGTCCGAAACTCGGGAAGGAATCACACTGCGATAGATACAGCGATAGCAGGCGGCTTGATATCTGCGAGGTGCTACACACTAAGCCCTTTGCAGTTAATTCCATTCTTCCCTTTAACTTACCCAATATTATACCCATTGTTTCGTGTTCTGTCTTGTGTTGAAAGTTTGTTTTCACCTCATCCAAAACTGTTGTAACATATCACCTCACCCAAATGCAGGTATAAAATCAAAGCTGTTTAATCTCTCTTTAGTGTTTGCAGGTTATAGTTGTGTGTGTAAACTAAAGTCTTTGAAAATGTAATAAGTTATTACGAAACGCGTTCAAGTGTCGCGTCAGACTAGAAATAAAAATGAATTTTGGAGAACTGATTTTTCAATTACCATCGACAGAGAAAAGAATAAATATATATATATATATATATATATATATATATATATATATATATATATATATATATATATAAATATATATATATATATATATATATATATATATATATATATATATATATATATTGTTGAATATGACCGAAAAGGTAAGATTAATAATTCTAACACGAATTTTTTCAATATTTGTTATGTTTTTCTTCATTGTTGAGGGTAATTGAAATATCAACTCTCCAAAATAAATTTTTATTTTTGGTCTGAAGCCTAGAAGCGTTTTGTAAATGCTTCTTACATTCACAGTCCTGTTTTCACTTAGCACTACACTTATGATACACTGTGTATGATATATTTAACGTTGTTGTTGTAGTTATTATAGATTCAGCTACTCATAACAAGTTCCAAAGCAGCACGGGCTATGGTGAGCCCATAGTGGACTTACCTGGCACTGGAGCGGTCTATATATAACCTAAATCTTGCCTTTCATATTCGTGTTGAGTGAGGTGACACAAAAGTTTTGGGTGAGGCGGTTACATAAGAATGAACTGCAGAGGGCCTATTGGCCCATATGAGGTCTTGAAGTGGGTAGAATGTAGTTATTCATTAATTGGCTGTTGATTGCTGGTGTTGACTTTTTGATGTGTAGTGGCTTGCTGATGTCAAGCCTCCTGCTATCGCTGTATCTATCGATGATTTCTGTGTTGTTTGTTAAGATTTCTCTAAGTGTGCATAAATAATAAGTATAGAATATAGTGTGCATGGTTGACAATCATTCAAACGTCGTAATGACCTATAACTCAGCATTTACCAGAATATACCTGGGTGCCAGCGTCTCGAGTGGTCTTCATGGGAACATTAAACTGCCGGATTAACAAATGTCGTCCTAATTACATCTAAGATTTTTTTCCCACGTGATTCTTCAAATGGCGGTCTTAATCTAGCCCGTTCTCTAGATTTGCCACTCCCTTAAAAATGCAACTGTTTTGTCTAGCCAGAAACATACGAACTCTGGCAACCCCAACCTAACCTCTCAAGTCCACGGCACAGAAAACGTCAGTATTTCCGGCACTAATTTTTACTTAAATGGGCATATTTTAACCGGAGTGGTCTATAGTCCGTTACAAATGAGACCTATTATCATTACACATTTTTCATGTCACTCCTCAGTCTGGGGCAGATAGCCTGTGTATATTTACCTTAGGCTCGTATCACTACAACCCGCTCCCACTTAGTGTCGGACCACTGACCTTCCCCCGTGATTCATTGTATTCATGTATTCATTGCAACAGGCACTAAACCATTGTAATATGTGTCACCTGCAATAGGCACCCCAATGTATTAAGTAATTGGCTCCCCTACAACTAGATGTTGTACCAATTGCAATCGAAATTCCACCCGCTGGATCATGTACCCAAATGCACTAGAAATATTACCCCCCTTGATTATGTGTTCACTACAAAACAAACTTTACTACAGGATAATGTATTGTCTCGTCGAGACTCTCCCACACTGAAACTGTGTGTACTGTGATGGTGTCTACCCCGATATTTCTTCCTTCCCAGCTTAGAAGAGTCATATCTCCGTAGCCTAAGTATTCTCTAATGTTCAGGGAACATTTTCATGTGTGGGAAAGCGTGGAGCGTGATTAAGCTGGCTGTAAAATGGCCTGTTAAGTTTGATAATGCAAGGGGCTTACGCCTTTTGAGGCACAGGACGGTGTCGAGCCATCCTTGTTTCCCGCCAAGACATCCCGACGCTTCCCAGCACCTGATTGGCCAGGTGAGGTCACGTGCTGGAAGTGACCAATGACGAGAGCCCTCGGGGTGTGTGACGTCACGAGGTGGAGGGCTCGGGGCGGCTGGCGCCTGGGCGGGAAGAGTACGGTTTAGAGAGCCAAGAGCTCTATCAAGAGTCTGCAGCAGAGGGAACGTTGGGCTGGTGACGTCTAGGACGCCCAGAGGACCACGTATTCTACATCAAGCGAGTAGCTATGCCAAATCTACTGGCAGTGAGGCGAGGGGAAGCTGTGCTAGACTGTGAGGTGTCAGCAGTGCCAGTGAGAGTGGAGGACGACAACGGAGGTACCTGTCTCCAGTACCCCAGAGAAGAGGAGGAGGAAGGCAGTACCTGTTAGGAGTCAGCACGGCGAGGACGGGTTACCACGAAGGCGATGGAGGAACCTGTGTGTGTGGTGGAAACTAGTCGTTGGCAGAGCATACGCCAGGACCATGAACCTCAACGTTCCTCAACAGAGGACAAGTCAGCTTCGTGGTTGAAGTGAAATAAGGTAGATAATTGTCCCTCCCTTACCCCTTTTGAGCTAGGCGAGCTAGAGTATTTTATATGTTGTGAATATTTCTACTCATCATTTTATTGTCTAAGTGACAGGATGTTAGGCTAGGAGCCAAAAACTCATTTAGGCATGAGTTGGTGAGTGTGAGCATTAAGGCGGGGATGTTAGTGATCCTGGAAGGGTAGTTGGTGTGCAAGGAGCCAGCAACGTGCTCTGAAACGTCCAGCTGATCGCATTGCTAGAGGCATGGGAAAATCACGACGTTCTGACAGCTGGAACTGCCAGCTGATTGTGCTGCCAGAGGCGCGAGGTGTGCCCCGCGGCTCGAGGAGTGGACCCAGCCAGCTGACCGTGTTGCTAGAGACGTGTCATCGAGAAGTGTTGCCACCAGCGGACGGTTTCCCCCTTTTCACATTTCTTTATACAATTGAATGAGTATATATGTTTTTCTTCAGTAAACCTTTTAAACTAATTGATGAGTTTAAGTGAGCCTCCATTCTCTAGGGCTATATATATATTTATGAGACCATAAGTGACACCTTGCACTGCACGTGACATTGCATCCTTAGCCAAGATAATTAATGAGACCACTGACGTGTTGCTGGGACACGAGCTTAAACACCCAGCTGGCGACCTCAGGACAGACCAGATAAAGCAAGAGAAAATGTCTCAGAGTCAGGACGGGCAGGTTTAAGTGAGTTATAGGAAGCTTGAACCTCCCCACTCGCTAAGGCCAGCCCTTAGTTGACTGGGGGAGCCCAAGGGCGAGCAGTGGCGCCCAGTACTGAGGGGCTAAGACCCGTGGGACGACCCCAACCACAGGTAGGTTAGGGGGGTGAACCCTGACAGTACCTACGGTCATAACATCCTCCAACAAATGAAATATGTATCCACAACAAGACATTTCAAGTTTGATTATTTATCTTCTGCAGCAAACACCAAACACCTCCACCCAGAATGTGCACAAGCTGAGAGACATTCCCTCACTGTATTATTCCTACACGTACAACTCCCCCCCCCCACCCCCCTTCTCCAGAAAGTCTTCACTGCACACGGTTAAGTTTGACATCTGAAAAATGGCGGTGAATGACCTTCGTATATTACAAGAGACACGAAAAATAAGAGAGACATGGAACGAGGAGATTGGAATGTTAGAGCGTCGGGGCCTCTATTGCCTGCATGTCTCCCACGTCAGCCAGGGCGGGACCTGGGGTGATACTGCCTGCATGTCTCACACACCAGCCAGGGCGGGACCTGGGGTGATACTGCCTGCATGTCTCACACACCACCAGGGCGGGACCTGGGGAGATACTGCCTGCATGTCTCACACACCACCAGGGCGGGACCTGGGGTGATACTGCCTGCATGTCTCACACACCACCAGGGCGGGACCTGGGGTGATACTGCCTGCATGTCTCACACACCACCAGGGCGGGACCTGGGGAGATACTGCCTGCATGTTTCACACACCAGCCAGGGCGGGACCTGGGGTGATACTGCCTGCATGTCTCACACACCACCAGGGCGGGACCTGGGGTGATACTGCCTGCATGTCTCCCACACCACCAGGGGGGGACCTGGGGAGATACTGCCTGCATGTCTCCCACACCACCAGGGCGGGACCTGGGGTGATACTGCCTGCATGTTTCCCACACCACCAGGGCGGGACCTGGGGTGATACTGCCTGCATGTCTCCCACACCACCAGGGCGGGACCTGGGGTGATACTGCCTGCATGTCTCCCACACCAGCCAGGGCGGGACCTGGGGTGATACTGCCTGCATGTCTCACACACCACCAGGGCGGGACCTGGGGTGATACTGCCTGCATGTCTCCCACACCACCAGGGCGGGACCTGGGGTGATACTGCCTGCATGTCTCCCACACCAGCCAGGGCGGGACCTGGGGTGATACTGCCTGCATGTCTCCCACACCACCAGGGCGGGACCTGGGGTGATACTGCCTGCATGTCTCCCACACCACCAGGGCGGGACCTGGGGTGATACTGCCTGCATGTCTCCCACACCAGCCAGGGCGGGACCTGGGGAGATGTGGCCCTGGTGATGGACCATCTGGGAAGGTAATCTGTGGCTTTGGTGATGGACCATCTGGGAAGGTAATCTGTGGCCCTGGTGATGGACCATCTGGGAAGGTAATCTGTGGCCCTGGTGATGGACCATCTGGGAAGGTAATCTGTGGCTCTGGTGATGGACCATCTGGGAAGGTAATCTGTGGCCTTGGTGATGGACCATCAGGGAAGGTAATCTGTGGCCCTGGTGATGGACCATCAGGGAAGGTAATCTGTGGCCCCTGGTGATGGACCATCAGGGAAGGTAATCTCTGGCTCTGGTGATGGACCATCAGGGAGGTAATCTGTGGCCTTGGTGATGGACCATCAGGGAAGGTAATCTGTGGCCCTGGTGATGGACCATCAGGGAAGGTAATCTGTGGCCCTGGTGATGGACCATCAGAGCGGTACTCTGTGGCCCTGGTGATGGACCATCAGGGAGGTTCTCTGTGGCCCTGGTGATGGACCATCAGAGCGGTACTCTGTGGCCCTGGTGATGGACCATCAGAGCGGTACTCTGTGGCCCTGGTGATGGACCATCAGAGCGGTACTCTGTGGCCCTGGTGATGGACCATCAGAGCGGTACTCTGTGGCCCTGGTGATGGACCATCAGAGCGGTACTCTGTGGCCCTGGTGATGGACCATCAGAGCGGTACTCTGTGGCCCTGGTGATGGACCATCAGAGCGGTACTCTGTGGCCCTGGTGATGGACCATCAGAGCGGTAATCTGTGGCCCTGGTGATGGACCATCAGAGCGGTACTCTGTGGCCCTGGTGATGGACCATCAGAGCGGTACTCTGTGGCCCTGGTGATGGACCATCAGAGCGGTACTCTGTGGCCCTGGTGATGGACCATCAGAGCGGTACTCTGTGGCCCTGGTGATGGATCATCAGAGCGGTACTCTGTGGCCCTGGTGATGGACCATCAGAGCGGTACTCTGTGGCCCTGGTGATGGACCATCAGAGCGGTACTCTGTGGCCCTGGTGATGGACCATCAGAGCGGTACTCTGTGGCCCTGGTGATGGACTATCAGAGCGGTACTCTGTGGCCCTGGTGGTGGACCATCAGAGCGGTACTCTGTGTCCCTGGTGGTGGTCCATCAGAGCGGTACTCTGTGGCCCTGGTGGTGGACCATCAGAGCGGTACTCTGTGGCCCTGGTGGTGGACCATCAGAGCGGTACTCTGTGGCCCTGGTGGTGGACCATCAGAGCGGTACTCTGTGGCCCTGGTGATGGACCATCAGAGCGGTACTCTGTGGCCCTGGTGGTGGACCATCAGAGCGGTACTCTGTGGCCCTGGTGATGGACCATCAGGGCGGTAATCAGTGGCCCTGGTGATGGACCATCAGGGAAGGTAATCTGTGGCCTTGGTGATGGACCATCAGAGCGGTAATCTGTGGCCCTGGTGATGGACCATCAGGGAGGTACTCTGTGGCCCTGGCGATGGACCATCAGAGCGGTACTCTGTGGCCCTGGTGGTGGACCATCAGAGCGGTAATCT